TTTCAATGTTCTGCCTTCTCTCCCTTCTTCCTATTGTGGCCCTACACAAATCTGTAGCTCTCTTGCATGTAGAGATTTCACGGAAATAATTTTAATAAAAGCAGTATGCCATGAGTTGCCTCACGAATCTGAAATTCCCGAAGCTATAGTTCTGTCAGCTAAAATAATCTAACCTAAAGCTCAATATGCGACAGGCATAAAGCCCTTTGTAAACAACCTCAGGTGTGCGTCCCGAAACCAGCGCCAGGATGGTGCTACCCTGCCTTCAAAGAGAGGCTCTGACTCTCTGCTTTGCTCTATTCTTCATACGTGTACAATAATGTGTTATTGCCCCTCCCCCAAATTTTCGATACAGATGACATTAAAAGCAATGAAGACCAAGACAACTTAATGCCTGGTATCCTTGAGCTACATGCAAGCTGCAGTGTTTCTCGTTAACCAAGTTACTGTGTGGGTTCTCGGCCAGGACAGGAAAAGAATATGATGTTTCACAGGCTAAAGACAGAAGGATTGTGAGTTCAAGGCCAGCATGGGTGACATAGGGAGACTCCATTGGAAAACAGAAAGTAAGAAAGGTAGATGGAGACATTGGGGGGCCAGGGAGAGTGCCCCGTAACCTGGCTGCAAATGAAAACTGTGGGCCTGTTAGTTTAAGGACCAGCAAAGCAAATACTATGAGTTCAGTGCTAAGTGAATGAAATATGACAACCGTGGAACCCGGGTTCAGTTCCCAGTACCAATTGCAAATAAGTAATAAATAAAAGCAATGGGGAACAGGGATGGAGACAGAGCAATAGAGGAGGTGGAGAGGACGGAGAACAGAGTTGAGTAACTAACTCTGTCAGCCACAAAAACCCCAGAATTTTGCCATCTGGCCCTTTACAGAGAAATGCGGCCTGTGCCCGTAGGATTTAATGAGGTTCGTGAGCTTTCCTCACAGAGACAGGGGTCCCGCAGAAACTGATTTACTAGCATTTTCCTGTTATTTCCTTTAGGAGCAGAGGGAGGTCCCTGACCTCATCCTCAATCCATTAAAGAGCCACATGGTTCTACTGAAAATAATTGGAAATATTGACAAAAGAAGCTGCAATATTGTCCTTATGACTTGGGGCCGTGTGTTCAAATTTATAGTAGAAACTTCACACTTTAAGAAAACCTTTTTTTGGAGACATCTAGTGAGGAGCAGATACAGCACATAGATACCAGAGAGCCGACGGCTGATGTGGTAGTCAAGGAAACGGCCTGAAACATGGAGTAAGAGACGGAGAGCAGCGCTGATGTCTTAGCTAGGGTTTCTATTGCTGTGAAGATACACCATGACCATGCAACTCAAGTAAAGGGAAACATCTAGCTGAGGTGGCGGCTTACAGTCTCAGAGGTCCAGCCCGTCATCATTGCGATTGGACGCGGCAGCGTGCAGGCAGACATCTGCTGGAGAGGCAGCTGAGAGTTCTACATCTCGAAGGCAACAGGAAGTGAATTGAGACACTGGGTGGCATCTAGAGCATATAAGAAACCTCAAAGCCCACCTCCACAGTGACACACTTCCTCCAACGAGGCTACACCTACTCCAACAAGGACACACCTACTCCAACAAGGACACACCTGCTCCAACAAGGACACACCTACTCCAACAAGGACACACCTACTCCAACAAGGACACACCTCCCAACAGTGCCACTCCCTTTGGGAGACGTTTTCTTTCAAGACACCACAGCCGGCATGATGGAGGTGGCATAAATGGCTGCAGAATTCTCACAGATGAGTCTCCACCTGGTGAGAGACAGAGAACAATAGTCCACACTCCTGAAAACGCCACCAAGTATTATTGACGGGAGAAGCAGTTTCTAGAAGGAATAACTAACCATTCACCTTTGATCTCAGGATTTCCTAAGGCTCACCTTGGCCACTCTTGAATCCACCAAGGAGCCCCAGCTGTGTATCTAACCCTGGGAGATTGCATACTGCACACCACAGGCAAGCTGAACATCATTGGAAGCTACACTGTCACTAACACCTTCTCTTTTGTAGAGCAGGTCCAGCGAAAGACAAGGAGTCACCGTGAAATCCCTGGGACGCTCAGTGTCAGTTGCCCCAGAACATCACTGTCTACACTAGACGAGAACACTAGAACAAGATAAGGAACCTCAGTTAATGTTTGGAAACTCAAGCCCGGCCCATAATTCTCTAACCCTCTCCCATACACTACCACAAAAAAAAACATTATTATTTTTAATGATAACACTCAAATCACCTCTGGGGTGCCTAGAGCATTATCACATTATCCTGAGGTAAAGTTACGTTAATAATAAGTGCAGTGTTTTCCCACTACAAGATCCGGACGTGTGACCTGCATGGTGGGAAACAGGGGCCCCGTGTTGTTCAGCCACACTCTCCAGGCTGAACAAGTTGGAGCTGAATCAGGTCAACTTGACGCAGGGTCCGGTGTCCTCCTCCTGATGTCACGTTGCCTCCCAGCGGTCTACAAAGACAGACTTCTAAAAACTGAAGAAGCTATGAACCGATGAGCTCACCCAAGTTCGTGTGTTGAAAACCACCCTCGTTGAGGTGCACACGTGGCCTAAAAAGAGGTAACTAAGGTTTGCTGAGGCCTTCAGGGTGGGGCCCTGATGTGATAGGATTAGCGTCCTCCTCAGAAAGAGCGCAAGAGACCTTACTCCTCTATTTCCACCCCTCAAGGTTACAGCGAGAAGCCCAGAGGGAGAGCTTTGGTGTCTTGAGTGTGAAATTTCCCCTAGAGAGTCCTGTGTTTGAATGTCTCGTTTGCACCTAGAGGCGCTGTGTAGGAAGATATGATGGGACGTCTAGGGGGTGGAACCTTGCTGGAGGAAGTGACTCAGTGGGGGAGGACTTGAGGTCTTATAGGCAAGTCCCACTTCCTGTTTGCTATGTTTCCTGTCTGTTGATGCAGCATGACTGGACACCTCTCATCCTTCCCGCCACGATTTTCCACCTTGATCACCTGCATCTCCTTGGACTATGAGCCAAAGGAAACACTCTCTCCCTTCCTGTTGCTGTGTCTGAAGCTAAGGGTGCCAGCATCTTGACCTCAGACTGCTGACCCCCAGCCCAGAGCGGTGGCTACTGTTTAAGCTAACACCACAAAACTCCGAGCAAGCTAAGACGCATTAATTAAATTCAACAAATGAATGGAAAATTCTAGAAGAGTCCAAATCCCAAATACGACCGAAAGTTGAAGCACAGAAGGAAGCCTCTATTTTTATGATGGGTCCTAAACCATCTGCTAAAGACACACAGCTCTGAAGACAGCCCACAAGCCTGTAGTGTGAGCCGAGAGCAACCGGTGCTGCTCTTCTGCAAATCCTCTCAGCCAACTCTAATGAACGGTGCTTGAGAAGCAAGAAGCAACGTCAACACCCAGGATCTGGTGCCAGCTAGGGATGGATGTGCTCCGTCAGACATGAGCTGCTCCGTGAAACATTAGCATCAGACAGGGCCCTCTGTGACTCTGATGGATCAGGACCAAGCCAGTATAACCCTACAGGCATGTCTGAGCACAGACAAAATACCCAATGTCCTGTTTGCTGTCCGCTACAAGTGGCTGCTGCTGACTGACCAGTAAACAGCATCTAGTCTGCCTTCCCTACGGATAAGTGCTTTGAGTACCCAGTGACAGAATCGCCCTTTCTTCGTGACAGGATTGACCCAGAGTGAAACTCCATGCTTGTTTCCACAAATCAGTTGGCACAAACCCAAAGCTTAACAAACCATCCTTTCCAATGCCCATTGGCCAGGACTTTCCCATCATCCTCCGATCTTTCCATGTAAAGAGTTGTAATGGCCCAACATGTTCGTCTATGTTAGAAGGAAACGGACGCCGTATGTTCCAAGCCCTTGATGGATGCTTGAACCTTAGGTAACAGCCAACCTCATATACACTGTGTATTTACTCTACATGCATTCCTATGGTGACATTTAACTCATTACTCAGGAATATCAGGAGATTAACAAATCAATGAAATAACAGAACAATAACAACATACAGTAATAAAATTGGTATGGCTGTGGACTTTCTCTCAAAACAACTTGTCATACCATATTCATCTTTCCTCCTTCTTCAGACCATGGTTGACCATGGGTAGCTAAGCCATGAAAAGGGGTGTGCTGTATAGCTACGTGACCAGAGGACCGCCTCTAGGTGGAACACATCGTGATGGGCAGCCGCATACTGTGACCCCGGCTGGCACAGTCCCCATTCGAGTCGTCTCCAGAGACTTCCTTGGAAGACTTATCTTTAAGAACTAGCACAGCTTTGAACCTTAAAATTGACAACCCCATTGTGAAGTATTATCAAAGTCCCTTTGCTTTAAAGTGATGCTGAAGTCAGACTTCTCAAAGAAACTCATTGTGCTTGGGGTGTCAGAGAGCCAAAGAGACCCTGAGTAGACGGAGCCGACTCTCTCTAATAGCTGTCTCTTCTCATAGGAGGAGGAAGCCCAACAAAGTGAGTGACACAAAGTCCAGGTTTCATAGAACCACCAGGGTGGAAAGCATTTGTGGTTCTCACCCGGCAGCATTCCTTTCCCTAATTTCTTTTGACTAGCCAAGCCTTCGTTTCCTACAGGCAACTAACACGCTAAAGATGGCTTGTGTGCGGTTAACATTCTTCAGCACCACTCATTTGCCAGTGAAAATAATAATTCACATTTGTGCTAGCTTCTGGTATAATTCCGCTGCGTTGTTGACAGAACTCTGCTAACTTACAAACAACCCTCTGGACTCTAAACTCCTGGTTAAGTTTATCTAAATCCAACCATCTCCAAAGGATTGGTCCCTGAGTAGGGGCTTCATTTGCTACCTACTGTGTTTCCCGTGTGTATCCACCCAGTATATATGTGCAGAGATCACCTCGTTGATGTAGAATGGGAATATCACCAACCCTTCACTGCACTGAAAACCCAACGAATCCGATAGATGATGCAGAAAGAGTTTTGTATGATTCAAGTCTCTGAACATACCACAAAGACCGGGTCATTGGCAGCTGAGTGTGGCAAAGCGTTCGTTCCATTCAGGAAGGAGTGAACCAAATTATGGAGGCTCATAACTTGAGAGTCCAGTGTGCCGTCTGCCTTATCAAAACCTTCCAGAGCATTCCTGAGAGAAACCAGAGTGTCAGTGACGTCAGTTCAGATTGGCAAAAGGTCTCTGCATTATCTGGCCATCTAACGCTGGGTAGGGATAGGAGAGGGTCTGCTGCTAACTGCATTATCTGGCCATCTAATGCTGGGTAGGGATAGGAGAGGCTCTGCTGCTGACTGGTCTAGCATTCTTTCACTTCAAGCTTTTGCAATCAAGAAACTGTGGTGGCATTCAAAAGCTAATGAAACTGCAGTGTTGGTAAGAGTGTATTTCTCACCATCAACCGCTCCTTAGTCTGTGGTTTTAAGACTTTCTCCAATATTTAGCTCTGTAGGTGTCTGCCAACACCCAGATTCCTCTTGGCCCCACACAAGTACAAGCATGATAGTCTAATGCAGTGGTTCTCAACCTGTGGATCCCAACCTTGTTGGCAAACCTTTGTCTCCAAAAACATTTGCATTTCAATTCATAAAAGTAGCAAAAATGCAGTTATGAAGTAGTAACAAAAATAATTCTATGACTGGGAAGTCTCCACAGCGTGAGAAACTGTATTAAAGGGTCGCAGCATCAGGGAGGTGGAGAACACTGTTCTGAAGTACTGTAGAAGAGGTCAGTGCCTACCTGAAGCTGAAGGTAGAGTTCTGGAAGAAAGGCGGGTTGTCAAACTTCTGGAGCAACAAGCAATCCTGCACATTCTTTAAGGTTGGCAGTGTCTCACCATTTCTTCCCACTTGGTTCCTTCTTAACAAACCTTCATAGGTTCCATTACACAGTGTGACCTGGCGGTTGTAGTCTTCCAAGCTAAGGTTTATAGAATTAAAAACAATACGCCTTAACTTTGTGGATGGTATCAAGAACTTGGTCCGAACAAATAGCGAGGGTCCTGGTCCTTAGTTAATTTACATGGTCAAAACTAGGCATAAAAATATTACCCTTGAAATCAATCATGGACAGAGACATTTCAAAAATGTGGGTGCCTAAAACATGAAGGCAGAAATAAATGTGACAAAGATTACCGTTCCATTCAAAAGACCGTGACAAGCAAGATGGTGGCCACTATAATTGTAATTGAGCCATTTTGGGAGGAATAAGTATAGAGATGGGAGGAACATTTAGCCCAAGTGGAGACAAACGGGAAGCCAGAAAACCAGATAAAAGTATGCAGATAAAATGCAGCACTAAAACACTTTGTAATACTTAAAGTGGTAAAAGTCTCAAGCACCTTGATTTTATTGTGCCACATTGAACACATACATGCATACACACACACACACACACACAAAGTTATCAATATTACACCCCATAATTTGTATGCTTAAAATCGTTGTGATAATTATTAAATAATTATTTATAGTGTAAATGACATAGATGTATAATATATTTATAAATCAACTATGATGTGTAAGTAATAACACTTTTCAGGTCATAGACTCATTTTTGTGAATGTATCCACACATGTGTGCAGGGGTTATACGAACCTGGGGGGTATGGCACTCGTGTGCATGGGTATACAAGCCTGGGGGTTATGGCACACATGTGTAGGGGGTACACGAACCTGGGGGTTATGTTTCCTTGGCAAGGACCCAACAAGCACCATAACCCTCTTACGCTGCAACCCCAAGAGTCTGGGTTGACAGACTTGCCTGGGACGCCCAGCTTATTATGTGGGTGCCAGGACTGGAACTTTGGTTTTTGTGATTTTTTTTTTCATGAAGTACCCTTAACCACTGCGTCCCCTCTGTAGGCCATGAAATAAATTTTTTCTAAGTGAGAAATGAAAACCACATTGGGAACTGTGAGGCTGAGAGGTTGACGACACAGGCTGCCGGAGCCTGAAGTCTCAGCATCAGGGTGTTGATGCTGCATAGAGGCAGACTTTAGAGACACTCCTGCGTGGGCTTCAAAGCGTGAGGGGACACAGTCGGCAAGTGAGAAGAGAGTGGGCACGCATGCAAGGGTGCAGGATGCCAGGACCCAAACCCCAACCAACAAAAGACCTCAGAGGCGCCGAGGTGTGTTCCTGGGAGATGGCCTGTGAGGTGAACTCCAGATTCGGACACGTTTAGGTTCCCCTAGATGGATAATACCGTGTTCGTCTACAGAGGCTACAAGATGCCCCAAGTCTTTTTTTTTTAAAACACATTTTGAATTTGTGTCCTCTAGACTTAGGTGATCACGGGAGCCTCTTTTCATATCACCTATGAGTAGGCAAAGGCGTGTTGGCAAGTGGTGTTGTATGGGATTGAGTGAGACTCTGCAAAAGTATCTACAGCATCCTACTAGCTGAGGCCTGACCCGAGCAAGGGCTTCAGGATGTGCAGCATACAGAAGGCAGTTTCCTGTGACAGGGCAGGACCCCTCGGAGCAGCAAATGCCCAGGGACAGTTATGGCCAGGGAGGTAGCCCTGAAGCAACTGAATAGTGGCGGATAAGGAGTCAGGGTAGTGTGAGTTAAAACGCGGGAATTCGAGAGAGAAGAAATAAATGAAGGAACGCAGGAGAACCTCTCGGGGAATCTTTTTCTGAGACACAGTTGTTATTCCCTGTCCACAATTTCACTTTTCACAGTTGGTTACCTGCAGTCAACTCTGGTCTCTAACATCCCTACAGCACCCTGAGAAACGAAAAGATTTTGAAAGAAAAGGGGAGACCCTGTTCACATCGACCCTACTTCAGAACACTGCTACAATTGCGCTATTTTATTATTGGTTATTGTCGTTGGTCTCTTGCTGTGCCTAATTCATAAATTAAATTTCACCATAAGGAGGAAAATTGGATGTCAAGTACCCCTGGGACTCTTGGGACAGACCCCCAAAAGTCAGAGGGGTTCCTGAACTGCACCCGGAAAGGACAACTTTGAAGAAAGAGTTCCTCCAGGACTCCGGCCACCTGTTTGCTAATGCAGCTTTCGAGGGTTAAGGGATAGCTTTGAGCCTCCCACATCCCGAGGTCTGTGCTTCTGTCCCACACAAACCCCTCAGGGACCTGTGAGCCAGACACCCACCGGCTTTCTTCCAGAGGCTTCGGGAGAATCATGTGTGGCGCTCCCTCACCTAGAACCTACAGTCTACCCACACCCTCCTTGCCTAACCACATCTAGCCACCCTGTGGACTTGTCCTGACTCTCTTTTTGGCTACACACACACACACACACACACACACACACACACACACACACAGAGAGACAGAGACAGAGACAGGCAGAGAGAGACAGAGAGAGAGACAGAGACAGAGCTACAGAACTTCTCAGACTGCTTGGTAATTCATTTACCACAATTGATCTCTGCAAATGCGGACGACTGGGTCCTATTAACCCTCGTGTTCCCAGCAGGGCTGCCTCACCAAGGATGTGCTCCATGCTCACAGCAAGCATTGGCTGAGAGCCAGCCGGGGCTGCCCCTGGTTGTAAACTCATGCCCCAGGTCTCCAAACGATGCCTGAGCACACTCAGCCCACTAACACAATTGCCGTGCATCTGCTTTTTCATTTGAGAACTTAGAAAGTGTTTAAATTCCTGCCTCCCACGGAAAAACTGCTCTCAGGAACACGTAAACATGACCCCATGTACCACGGAGAGAGAGAAGTATAAAGAAATACCGCGCGTACCACCCGGGACCGAGGGAAAGCAGCCTTGGGAGCTCAGTCGCGCGTTACCTGTCACACACAATCTCCCAGGTGGAGAACCTTGAATTCTCACTAATCAGGGTTGGGTCATCTTGCCTAGCGGCTCCCAGCAGCTCATCTGTGCACACATCGCACTCAGCCTTCCCGGTTGCAAAGTTCCAGTAGGGCAAAGCAAAGGACTCGTTGCCAATGAGTCTCTAAAAAGCAAAGGTAGGTCCCATCACTTTATGTGCGTGTCAGATGCCCCACCGGCACGTGCAAGGCCAAGACTGGGTGTGTTTCCTGGCCGAATTTATAGCAGAACCAGGAATACAAATCAGATGAGTTTTAAAAGTCGATAAATATATATTCATACATGTCTATATAAATATGGAAACCTCACATATGCATGTGTGGGAATAAGCATGATGCAACGGTCCTGATTTAATGGAGGAGGAGATCCTGCCATTCGCAGCAAAGTAGATGAACCTGGAGGACATTATTGCTAAGCCAGTAAAGCGGATTTAAAAGGGAAATGCTGCATAGCCTCGTGCGCATGACAACTGAAGGAGAAGTATCAAAGGCACAGAAAGTGGGGAGCATAGGGAGACGGGAGAGCCTGGAGAACTATGTGCAACAGGAGGGCAAAACCCGCAGCAGCATCCTCCACGGGGAGTTTGTCAAGTGAGCATACTTTAGATGCTCACAGAAAGGGAAGCTGTCTGAAGGGCTGAGTGCAGTCGTTTTCCTGACTAGCAGTCACTGAAGTAAGGATATTAAACAGTATGTATTCCTTAAACGCAAACACTTTTTAGATACAGAGCTCGTGTTTTGCACCAACCTGGAGATCTCTTTCCAGCCACAGCAAATGGTATCTGTGCCAGGTGACGAACGCAGGCCCTTGGTGTGAGAAATCTATGGCCTTGTAGGGGCGTCCTGGACCTGGAACCGTTGGGAAACAGAGGTCACAGAACAGAATACAAGGGGTATGTCTGTGTCCGGAAAGTCTACAGTGCCTTAGCTTAAAAACTATTTGTTAAAAAACAACAGTAAGACTAACAGTAAAAGAGCTTCAGAAGCAACAGTAAGACTAAGAGTAAAAGAGCTTCAGAAGCAATTAGTTTGATTTTTTTTTAGCAGAGAACACAGAAACCCAGGCCATTTTCAGTAGTCAGTGTCCTGTTACACACTTTAATTTTTTTCATGATAACACATGAAAATAAAATGCTGTCTAAAAAGGCCCATCGTTGAGACCTAAAGGAAATGTATTTTAAAGGTATTTTTTGACTAGTTCTTTGGAATTGCATAAGCTCGTGGCAGAGATATTGCTTAATAACGTATCAGCTTCAGCCACATCTGGGGGCTGATGCAGCCTTCATACAACCAGAAAGAACTTCCTCAAGGTCTGCCTCACGCATCCGTCAGTAAGAACCTCCAGCTGACAAGCATGGTCAGGAAGCAGAAGAGAAAACACATGCTGGAACCAATTTGGCTGCCTGCTGGGGCTGCCGATTTCAGTGTGGCTCTTTGAGCAATTTAACGCCCATCTTGGTGCCTGCTCCGTCCTCCTCCTGCCTTTCATAGCGGCTTTGGATGGCATGAGGAACACCAGCTCTCTTTAGTTCTTTCAAAGTACCTGTGATAACTGCAGACAGCTGAACAGGCATGAATATAAACTGAGTTCCTAGAGAGGACCAGACACTACAGTCTTCCTTTCCTCCTGAGAGGCTACCCTCTCATAAAGCCAGAATTCCTCCGAGTAATGACAGGAAAGCGGCAAAGGCTTGGAGTCAGAGGGGTCCCTGCACCTATCGACAAGGGAAGATGGATGCTAGCCTGTAAGGCAGGTTCTAACAACACTGAAAGCAGAGCTCCTGCTGCTGCTGTTGGCCACAGAGCCTTTGAAACAAAAATGATTTTTAAAAAATGTTTCAAGTTTCCTACCCCAAAAGTATGAGGCTGACACGACACCAAAGGATGGGAACCAGTGACGGGCCAAGTGAGACTTGCACCAGACCAAGTACGCTCAATGATTTTGTCCACCTTGACCCCAGGGAGGGGACCCAGAGGTAGGGACAGCAGCAGAGATAGCCAAGTGTGCAGGACTGTTACGAGAAGAATCTAGAATGGATTCGAACTCTCCCGGAACAAGCCAATGGCTTCCCCCCAACCCATGTGCACGACCATGAACCACCTGTGCCATATCCCAGTCCCCATGTTTTAGGTTCTGGGGGAGTCCTCAATACTTCACAACCATCGTTTTTGTTATTGTTGTGTGGGTGGGAGACACAGGCACTACAGCACAGGTGATGGGGGTGGGGTCAAGGGACAACTTTGGGGAACCCGAGGAGCCGCCCAGCATTTTGGAGTTGTGTTGTCAAGGAAAAATTCACACCAAGACACAGCAAAGTAGAGCTCCCCTCACTCCGCCTTGTGGGTAACTGCCTGTGCCTGTGTTGGATGCTGAAGAAAGAAGTGAATGAAAATGATGCTTGTGGCCAGCGAGAAGGTAAAGACACTTGTCGCGTAAGCCGGGACACCTGAGTTCCATCCACGGAACCCACATCCAGGTGGAAGGAGAGAACTGTGGAGGGCAGGAGCCTACTGTCCAGCTGGGAAGCATCCTCAGGTGAACTCCAAGGGAGGGAAGCCTGAAGATGGGTGTGTCTCAGGAGCCCCGCATTTTCTAGTGCTGCCGTTCTGGAGGAAGTGCTGTGCTCCCCCCAGCGTGTGTTCAGTTAAATCTTTAATTCTAACAAAAGACCAGAGCCAGCTTTCAAGCCACAGTTGAACTTTTTTCTTTCTTTCTTTCCTGGATTCAAAAGGAATTTGCCTCCACTTCACCAGCTCATGCCTTTGAGGATTAAGTTTCACAGAGAGAGAGAGCTAGGATTAGGCTTTGAACCAGGAATGTAAGCCAGGAGAGGTTTGAAGTGTGTGCGAGAACAGGAAGGAACTCCGGGCGGGGTTTGGTGATTCTGCGGGTCCAAAAAGCAACCTCGCTTGAGGGTGCCTCCCCGTTAATTACCTTGTATCAAATCGCTTCCACCACCCCCCAGCCAGTCACAAGCCTCTAATGATGGATGTTAAGCCAGTGGGGAAAACCCACCTAATAATGTATCTCGAACGGAATAATAATGGAGCCAGACGAAGAAGTCATACACACTGCAGTTGGCGATCTGCGGCTGGGTTCCGTTGGGCCCCAGCAGTCCCAGCCAGTGCTGCGTGGTGATCACGTAGTCCGGGTGCACAGTCCTCTTCGCCAGGTCCAAGGCGGTCAGGAACTGCTCCCTCTCCTGGGCGGTCAGGGCATGGATGTCCCGCCGCAGGACCCGGGGCTTCTTCTGATCACAGTTGGGGCCGGTCCAGCCGAACTTGCAGCCTCCACAATCGTAGCCAGCGAAGTTTCCTGGGGGGAGGGGGGGGAGGTTATACACTGCGAAAGAAAATTCTCAGTTGGGATCCCAGGTAGAATGGAAGAGAACCGACATCCCAAGGGGCAAAGAAGAGCCCTGACCTGCGGCACCAGGGGAGACCAGGCCACCACGCAGACAGGAAGCACAGGACAGGGTGGGAGCCCTGGAGAGCCCAGGCTCGATGCTGTGGCCTTTTCCTCAGGCTCGCAGCCTCGATTGCTATATGGCAATCCCTTTCTATTGTTAAAGCCAAAGAGGAGGAGAGTAAGAAGTGGGGATCTCGTCCCCAGGACCTCAGCACGTGTCCAGTTTTGGAAATGATGTCATCAAGACGGCAGTTAGGCCAAAAATGAGTGCAGTGGAGCCGTCCCTGCCTCTCCCAGCAAGATTGCCACCACTGTTCACACAGCGGGGAGGACCACGCGGAGACCGGGGAGGATCACACAGAGACCCCGGGAGGATCACACAGAGACCCGGGGAGGACCACGCGGAGACCCGGGGAGGATCATGCGGAGACCCGGGGAGAGCATCTGGAAGCCGAGGGGAGAGGTCTCGGAAGACAGCAGCCAGGCTCACACCCTGTCCCTCAGGCTTCCGCCTCCAGCACTAGGAGAAAACGACTTGGCCCCACAGTTTGCCATGGCTTGTTGCAGCAGCCCTAGCAAAGGAACGCTCCCGCCTGCCTCTTGTGTCCCGGAGCTCCCTCTTCAAGCACCCTGTCCACACGCCAGCCCCGTCAAGATCTGGCTAAGCTCCACGCCACTGGGCCAGCACAGACTGGTCCACGGACTGAGTAATTCCAACACACAGGAAGCAGAGGCAGGTGGGTCTCTGTGAGTTCAAGGCCAGCCTGTCCAACTAGTGAGTTCCAGGACAGACGGCCAGGGTTACACTGAGAACCCCTGTCCCGGAAATAGTAATAATAATAATAATAATAATAATAATAATAGCAGCAAAGAAGCTGACTTCCAGCACGTGGCTGGCATCTAACTCTAAAATTGCTGGTTTAATCTCACAGAGAAGACAGCATCAGACAAACAATCAATGGTGCCTGGCTGTCGGTAACAGTGAGTTGGAGACCATGATGGCCAGAAGTGCAGATCCTTTAGAATGTGCCGTCTGCAACAAAACGCCCCTGCCTTCCCACACCCAGGGGACAAGAACAGTGAGCGCGCGTGAAGGGGTCCGTCCCTGAGGACTGGTGGCCAAGCCTGAGTTCAAGCCTCTGCACCTGGGACCTGTGAGTTTCCTCTGGGCATGCAGAGCCCCTCACATTTTAGGCGCGGATGAAAGCCCAGCTGTCATTCCCACAGGAGGATAAAGGTGCTCATCCCCGGAACATTAAAGTGATTCCGCGTATGTGATGCCGATGGCCAGCGCCCAGTCAGGCTCTGCCTCCACCTCACGCCCCCAAGATTGTGACCTGTTCCTCCTTGCACCTGGAGAGCTTCCCCTGCCTGCCTGCCTTTTAGCATCGTGGCAGATCCTCTCTGTGCCATGCTTGGGCAGAACTGTGAGGAGGTGTGGAGCCCAGAGCTTTGCAGGAGCTACTCACATGCCCTGCCACCGGCCTGCACCCCAGCCTGGGCCCCTGCAAGACGAAAGGCCTGAGCTGCGGTCCCTCAGCCACTTGGACTCTTATTGATTGATTGATTTGCTTGTTTATTTATAATCATCGAGGAGAGCTGCTCAGTGGTGAAGCTCTTGGCTCCCACCCCCAGCATCATCAGGACAAAAAGAGAGAGAGAGTGAGAGAGAGAATGTGTCACCCACTGGGATAGCTTTTACAGGAATAGCTTTGCTTTTTTTCTTTTTTTTTCTTTTTCTTTTTTTTTTTTTTGAGAAGCGATTGAACACAATTTTTATGTCTGAAGAATGCATACTAGTTGGTCAAACTTGCAGGTGCTTTTTTAAAGTCTGCTCAGAAAGTGCATAGTCATCTACAGGATGACGTCACTGGGGGAGAAACCAAGACCAGCGTGGCGCAGGGTGCCAGCAGTGGTGGGCAGGGAGGAAGGTACAAGGACAAAGGATATGTGTGCCTTTCGCTCTCAGTGTGTGTGCGCGTGTGCGTGTGTGTGTGCACGTGCGCATGCGTGTGTGTGCATGTGTGCATGTATGTGCATGTGTGTGTGCGTGTGTGTGTGTGCATGTGTGTGCACGCGTGCCCGTGTGTGTGTGCATGTGCGTGTGTGTGTATTGTGGCTGTTGTTTCTGTTGCTGTTATGTTCATACATGTCTATGCGGGTTTGTGTTCCTACATGCGTATGTGCATGCCAGGGGTCAATGTTAAGTGTCTTCTATTACTCTCACTTTATTTCTGAAACCACTCTCTCACTGAACCTGGGCCAGCCGAGCTAACTGTCTGGCCAACAAGCTCCGGGAACTCGTCTGCCTCTGCCTCCAGCACTGGAATTACACGTGCACACGGGGAACTGGAAGGATGGTTCAGAGGGCCAGGTTTAATTCCCAGCATGCACACGGTAGTTCACAACAGTCAGAAACTCACTCCTGTTCCCACAGATCAGATGTCCTCTTCTGGCTTCCACAGTCTTCCAGGCACCAACCATGCATGTACCTCGTGCACACATATGCATGCAAGCAAACACTCATAGATATGAAATAAAAATAAATATTTTTATACATAATAAAGTTTCAGAAGGTTAGTTGGGTCATCTGAAGACACCGTCTAGCTCATCATGCTTACCAGAATTAATGAAAGACTTTCGGTCACAAAGACCCACGTGATAGGCACGAGGATTAAACCCTGAAAGTTTCAACACTTTGTGGTTGATAGTTGACACTACGATATCTTAAATAAAATACTCTCTTTCATAAACTAAATCAATGAAATCATAACAGAAGGTCAGCAAAGTTCTATTTGTCTCACTAACACTTTCCTACAAATATTAAAATTAAATCTTTAAAAAGTAATACATATATGCACACACACACACATATATGTGGGTAAAGTTTTCTAAGTACACAGTGAGCTCCACTTTCTGCATGGTCCCTGGGGATCCCAGAGCGGATCCTCCTGACTGTACGGCAAATGCTTTGCCGGTTGAGTCATCTCCTTGATTCTTTCTATTCAGTTTTCTGTGGACTCAAAACAGTCCTGAAAATATTTCTAAATAGTAGGGAAAAACACATTTAAATTTCATAGCAGTGACTTTAATACATGCTTACATTATAAAGATATGAAAATGCTTTTGACTCTTGAGGTCTGAAGCTGAGTTATTCACAGCTTATGCTGCAATTTCCACACAACACTGCTTCACCACGATTCTTCTGGCTGGTAGAGGTGTACCATCAATAACAGTCTTCCTGGCTTATTTATGCAACAGAGAACTCATTGAACATCTACAACCTAATTACCGCCAAGACTAAACAAGGGACCATGACACTGAGGTGGGTCATGGGGGTCATCTATGGCAGGGGATACCTGGGAAACCTCTGAACTTTTGACTTACTTTTCACCTGAACTTAAAGTTGTTCTAAAACATAGTCTTTCCTGGGGAGAGCAGAAAGGGGAAGTTGGGGTTTCCGGAAGCTGGGGTACATGAGATTAACATGCATTGCTCATTTGTATGACTTGCCAAAGAAAAAATAAAAGACGTCCTACTTTTAAAAATAGTCTTAAAACAAGTTTCAGTATGCCTTCCTCTGTCCCCACAGATTTTTATATTTTTAAACAAGTTGCCGCTGCTGGTGGCTTTTTTGTGTCTCAAAAAAAAAAAGAGTTCTGCTCCACAGAGTTCTTGAAATAAATAAATAAATAAACAAGTGTATTGTTACAGACCCCAGAGTGTGATGTCCCGGTCACAAACTCCACCTGCATTTTGTTGACAGTCTTAGAAAACCCCACTTCCCAAATGGCAGAACAATGGCTTCCCTTCACTTACCACACCCCAGAAACGTCCACTGCCCCCTTTCTACACAAAATGGGAGCCACACGGTACTAAACAGATGTCGTTTAAGTGAGTGATGGAGGAAACCCTGAATATTGGAGAAGGGGCATTTTTTTTTAGGCACTGGGGAACGCAGATATAAATAAAGCACCGTCACAGACGAAATGGGACACGTGTGCACGAGGAGACATCAACACAACTGTAACTGCAGGAGAAGTAAAAGCAGAAAGAATGGGGGTGGGGGTGGGGGCGGGGTGAGGGTGGGGTGGGGGGCGGGGTGGGGGCTGGGTGGGGGTTGAAGGGGTTGTGATCTGACCAAGGACGGAACCAGCGCTCCTGGTTCAGGTGAAGACAGCACTGCTTGCCAACTAAGATGGGCACAGAGCTGTAATGAAAGAAAAGTCTCACACACGCACACACGTGTGCACACATATGCGTAAGCACACATGCGCCACACACACATATGCATGCATCACACACACACACACACACACACACACACACACACGCAGTCAACCACTCGCCAGAAAGTAGTTGGTACTTGTCGTGTGCAATCCTATTTACTCAGTTAAAAAAATTATTTTTCTAAATGTACATCGGTCCCTTCTATTTTTATTTATTTATTTTTTTGTTTAGCTTACAGACCTGGCCTGTAGAATTTATCAAAAGGCTAAAAACAACTAGAAAGCTGCATTGTGACAGCCTGGCATGCATGCTGTATATTTCTTCCGATTTTCTGGTTTATCTTGCACCAGGTTAATATGAGCTCCCCCTCTCCTTCATGCATCAGTGGTGAGAAATACACATGGGACACATTTAGAAAAAAATTATGCGTTCTTGTTGTTGCTGCTACTTTTGTTGGGAAACAGGCAAGGTGGGAAGATGATTCCAATCTTTGAGTGTGTTCTTGAGCAAAAATTAAATTTAAAGAGTCAAAATCCTCCCCTGGACTAGGATGAGGAGAGAGAAAACATCTACACAACACATGTCCCTACACGCACCGCACGGCCCAAACTCAAAAACGCTATTAGCCTAACTAAGTTTAACGACCACCTATTAGAGAGTTTACAAGGAAGTCTAAATAGCCTATTCCTTTTAATTAGAGATTCTATTATTTTAATAACAATACTTTATACTCACGCCGATTCTTTCATCTGCAGAGCTCAAAAAGACTTTACCAGTGTGGTTCCATCATTATCCCCATTTCAGAGATTGGAAAATGAGGCACTTAGTCACTTGTACAAACAAGAAGTTCTCAGCCAACTGCTCAAAAACTATTCGGTGCCCAAGGATTTCAAAAGCCCAAACATACAGCTGCAACCGGCATCTGCCCATAAATGCTAACTGTCGGGGTGAGCCTCAGAATGTGACGGCCAACACCAAGGCCTCCCAACTTTCGCACTTCACCCCTGGCAACTGCATCCAGCAAGTGCTTTTTCCAATTTATCCCAATAAAGAATAGAGAAATGCTCGATAGAGAACTGGAGCATAGGATTTGTTTATTTTAGTTTAGTTTTTTGTTTTGTTTGTTTGTTTGTTTGTTTTAGTTTTCCTTGTCTTCCTGCATGGACTAAAGGTTCTCTTACCAGCCTGCAATAGAAAACCTGTCTCATTACTTTCTCAACGAATCAGCAGATACAAAGGTCCCCGGCCCTCTGTTGGCCAGATGTTAACTTCCAACTCTGCCTTAGAAACCTCAGGGTGTCCAGGAGGGTCCCAAGTGCTCCATTTGCAAGTGATTTTGAGGGCTCCCAGAGCCAAGTGCCTTTGGGATGCTCATCAGGTATAAATTCCATAGAGTACATGAGAACACTTCCCAAAGAAGGCAAATCACTCACTCTTTAAGGAGGAAAAAATAGAAGATCGGATGGTCTGCCTTTGAAAGATTTGACATGTCGCACAATGACGACAGCTACACACACAGAGCAAAATGTTCTGTTGCAAGTCCCTATAAAGACTCCGTCTTGTGCCTCCAGACTCAGGAAAACAGACCCCAGGCAGCAAAAATGGAGCCAAAGGGGACTGAGGATGTAGCTCACAGGTAGAATGTCTGCTCAGTGTGTGCAAACTCTGGTTCAATTTCTACAATTGAAAAAAAAAACGCTTTTTTTTTCAGTAAGTTGAAAAAAGAGGAGAAAGAGGTGATGGGACCAGCATCTAGCTCTCACAACCTGTAGATAGACTGAAAGATGCTACGCTCAGTGAAACAAATCCCCCCACACACACACTGTACAATACTGCCAGGTTCCTCCTTAGTGAGGCGTCTGAAGTGCTCAGCTAACCAGAAAGGACAGGCGCATGGTGGTTACCAGGGAGAGGGCAGAGGAGGAAACTCTCCCTGAAATGAACACCGAGTTAGAGGCACACCGTGACTAAGTTTTGGATATCCACCCTTTAGCACAGTTAAAGATAATGCCTTGTCCACAAAGAACGTTCCTGCAAAACCACAAAGGAAGACAAGGACACGGTTATTAGAAACAGGGAAGTGAGGCTAGACACGTATACAACTTTTTAAATTGTGTGCATTGGTTATGTGCAGAACTCAGTATGGCAACCGTGTTTTTTATGTATTTGGGTGTTTTGTCTGCATGTACATCTACACACCTGAAGAGGGCATCAGATCCCACGGAACTAGCCAAGGAACTAGTTGTAGATGGCTGTGAGCCACCAGGTGGGTGCTGGGATTTGAACTTGGAATCTCTGGTAGAATACTCAGTGCTCTTAACCACCGAGCCATTTTCTTCTGCCCCCACCCCCCGGCAATTATACTTCTTAAAGCTGGATAAAAGGACTATAATTTATCAAACTAAATATTAGGAGCAGCAGATCTTAAGCAACCTTAACGCACGTGTGCATGCAGTTCAGGATGAGCAATGGTCCTGAGGGAGCAGGAGGCAAATGAATCAGAGACAGGAGATAAACCACAGGCAGAGGCCGGCCCTCAAGGGTAGTCAGTGTTGGGAGCCCTGCTTCTGGGAACTGACCTCTGGAAATGCCATGTCTTTCCAGGTGACACTTACAGACGGGCCCTACTCCTGACCCACTACCTCATGGAACAGTAGCTCCTGTTTCATTCTGAACGTGTATAACTCAGACCCAAGTTGTGGTCCCTTCTTGATGAATATTCAAAATATTCCCCCAACAAAGAGAGATCGCAAGTAACCCTTCTATTCTGCTGTGTTCCACAGCTTCCACTTTTTAAAAGCAAATGTGCTGTCACTACCCAAGTGGAAGCTGAGTCTGTGGGTTAAGACAGGCTAACTGTTTCATCTGATTTATTCTGCCCCTCCAAAACAGAGATGCTTGGCTTTTGAAAAGACACAGCCTTTTGCCACCCATTGGCATGGGAATAATTGCCTTAGATGGCTGTGGGTGTTTAGAGCAAAGGTTACCTACGTTAGTGTGGTTTCTAATAGCCCAAATGTGGAATGTAATGCCCCCTATGGGGCTGAAAGCCTATGACGTGTCTATTGAAGCAAATGCTTCAGTGGCTCGAAAATGGGTAATAATATTCAATATGATACCATAACTTTTGTCTGATGGGTAGAGCAAAACTAGGACCTGAAAATTCCAAATCATTACAAGGACTGGGGACGTAATTTAGTGTCAGAGCACTTACTTGGCATACCCAAGGGCCTAGGTTGGATCTCTCAGAACTTCTAACATAATAGCAAACACATCGATACAAAGTTATAAGACTTTTGGAGTTCTGTCACCTTCCCTTTGAGATACTGTTTCAGACCCTGACACAGCTGGCTTGTCTGTTCTCCCCCACATTTCTGCAGCCCGGAAGAAGGCAGGAATATGCCAGAAGGGAAGGCTGCAGGCACCTGGCCGCCGAGGGACAATGTCTGAGGACCTTGGAGCTGTTGCTTGCACATTTTTGATATTTCAGATGCCCTGGCAGACTGCGAGTTCATCACAGTTGGGTGTGGTTTCTGCAAACCAGAAGTGAAATAGAGGAAGGTTTAAGAAGCCCAGAAAGGCAGAGAAAAATGAAGATTTCAAAGAAGCGAGGATTGGGAGAGACAGGATTGTACGGGAAGGACAGGGAGCAGGTCTGAGAGCTGCTCACATGGAGTTCAGACAACCGCAGAAGGGAACCACTGATCCCTCCTAGCAGCCCAGTGAGTTAGCTTCTTGGCCCCATCACCCCAACTTGGGCGGTTGCAGTCCAGTCCTGGCTTGAACAAAGCAGATGGACCCTGTTCGTGGTCTCCTCAAATCCTGAGAAATGCTGAGGCCAGGACTCGGCAGCACCTGCCTCCTCTCCTGTTAACCCGATGCCAAGCCGCACCCAAAGCCTCAGCAAGTGTGAACCCATTGCAAAGAGAGGCCCGATCCATCTTGAAAGGACTTGTTCTAGTTTCAAAGCAGGCTCCCCATCTCCGTAGCCTCCCCTCTCAACAAGCAAGCCAAAGGTATGTTGGCATGTGTTCAGAAACTCCGGCTCGGCCCACACAATGTTGACTTAGTTTTCATAAGCACATGTACAGGGCGTGAAAGATGTATCCAGCCCAGCCCATCCGCCTTACTGATTAGACTTGCCACCAAAACAGCTGGCCTAACAGTTTGCCACCAGTCTCAGCTCTGACTCGGGAGGGATCGCTATCCCAGCGAGGATGCTCCACCAAGGGGCAATCTGGAGAGAGAGAAGCAGCACCTGCCCCAGGGCCTTACCTGCGCACTTGCAAGTCCGGTTGAAGAATTTTCTCGGCCATTGCTCACGGTCATCCTGGTTTCGAAGGACATACGGGCCGCTCCAGGGTCTGGTGTCTGTCTGCACCTCTGTGCACTGGCCTCGGCCCTCTTGAGATCCACAGATGTTGGCGGGCTCAGGGCCCAGGGGCGGGCAGCACTCTTTGTTCAGGACACCTTCCAAGGTCATGCAGACCCGCGGAAACTGAGCCCGAACTCCAAGCAGGATTCCGCAGCCCAGGCAAAACAGCAGAAGCCCCCATGGCGCGAGGCCCATGCCTTCTTAATTGGGAGACCTGGTCAGGGCTCCTGCCAGTTTTGTCTGGATTTCTGCCTGGTCTTCCACTCCTGAGCTCCGGGGGCATTCACTCACTCAAATCTCCTTTTCCTTCCTTTCTTTTTCTTTTTCTTTCTTTCTTTTTTTTTTTTGTGCAAGCCTTTTCCTCTCCCCTCTCGAAACTCCCACCTAAACCAGAGAGCCTGCACGTGTGCACACACAAGCATACATGCCCATGCAGATGCTGCTTTCTGTGACTCAGACAGCTAACACAAGTTTAATTTCAACAGAAGCCCCTCTAACATCAAATTTAATGAGAGGAGCGCTTCTCGCCAGCCCTCCCCGTTAAATCGGGCTCTGTCTAATTGAGTTAATTTAGAGTGCTCCAGCCATACTGCTTATTATGCTGCTGTTCCTAAGCACCCCTCTTCTCTCTTTAGCCCTTGACTTTAATTGCCTTGAACTCGGTTCAAAAGCCAAGCGCTGAGCTGCCTTTATTCTCTCGGGCTTGCCAAGCCACGGGGCCTGGTGGGGTTTGGGGGAAGGCTGGGAGAAGCCATCATTAGGGGGATTATAGCTAGAGAAATCCTCTTTGTTAGCACATGACCCTAAGTGCACAATGAAGCTGATAGTGTCTGGCTTCGTGTCAAGAGGGCAAAGCCAGCCTCTTCATTGGGCTCATGTGTCCCGGCCAAGCTTGTGACCTCAGACTTCCCAGTGCGTCAATAGATGCAGTGAGCATTCCGTCAAAGGCCCTTTACAGACTGGTGCATCGCCTAAGCACCTCTCCCTCATGACTGCTTACTGACATGGGAGGGAGCCCGCCACAGGAGATCATGCAGCCCCTGAAATAAAGGAGCGTTTATTCAAGGCAGTGTACAAGGAGTTGCTTTGTTGCACAATTAAGGAATCCCCTTGCCTCCAGATAATAACCTTCTCTTGCCTAGCACACCCATCCAACAGATGTATTTTCGTTCACATGGAAGAGCATGCTACCAATGGCTCACGACTGTCATTGCCTTCCTAGAAGGAAGGCGACAGGACAGGCTGGAGTGAGGTTTGCAAGGAAAGCTTCTGATCTCACTAAAGTTTGGCGTGATCAAGCTTTAACCCAGTGACCCTGTGTGCTTCTTCTGGGGGTGACGCAGGAGTGTGCAGATGGGCAACGGTGGCCATTTGCAGGGTGTGTGTTCCCTCATGGTGGGAACAGGGCTGTCTCGATGCTGTGAGATCGACACAAATCACTTCAGCCAGAGTCTAAGGATGCCTTATACCTGAACATAAAGTACCTAGCATTAAATTTCAAAGGAATTCTTAAGCATTCGGGAGCAGAGTGTAGTGGTCCATGAGTTTAACTCCAGCACTCAGGAGGCAGAGGCAGGTGGATCTGTGTGAGTTTCAAGGCCAGCCTGGTCTACACAGTGAATTCAGGACAGCCATGGGTATGTAGATAGACCCTGTCTTGAAAAGGAGAAGGAGAAGAAGAAGAAGAAGAAGAAGAAGAAGAAGAAGAAGAAGAAGAAGAAGAAGAAGAAGAAGAAGAAGAAGAAGAAGAAGAAGAAGAAGAAGAAGAGGAGGAGGAGGAGGAAGAGGAAGAGGAGGAGAGAGGGAGGGAGGGAAGGAAGGAAGGAAGGAAGGAAGGAAGGAAGGAAGGAAGGAAGGAAGGAAGGAAGGAAGGGAAGTATCCCCATGCATGTGATCTGTTCTACCCTGTGATATTAAACTGTGACTAACTCAATGGCAGTCTGTACCTCTGGGTTCTGGACATTGAGTCAGACTCTTGAGGATGCCACGGGGCATCAACAGTGTCAGGATGTGTGTGCACACATGTATGTCCGCATGCAGGTGTGTGCACCTATAGTATATATGCTTTGGAAGGCATGTATGTACATGTTTGTATGTGCAAGGGGAGGCCAAAGGTTAGCATACAGTGTTTCTCCCAACCGCTTTCCACTTAGTTTTTGGAGACAGAGTCCCCACAGAACCATTTGATAAGAGTGGCTGACCGGAAGGCCTCGGGGGTCGGCCTCTTTCTTTGGGCCTCCCCGGCACTGCGATGGCAGGGGTGCGCCGCCACTCCTGGGGTCTAAACTTGGGCGACCACGCTTGCACAGCAGGCACGCTACTGACTGAGCCGTCCTCCCAGACTCACATCAGAACTGCCTCAGCTCTCTTCCTGATCCTACTACACGGCCTGAGCTGCGAGCCACGGTGTGAGAATAAAATACAGCTCCAGATGAGGGCTTGTAGCAGTGTCGGCTAAGAGACCAGGTATATCCCTTTCTGATGCCGTTGTAGTCAGTTTCCACAAACCGGGAAGCTTGCACAGGAGACATTTGTTCTCTAGCAGTTCTGGGCACCCAAGGTCTGAAATCCAGGCATTAACAAGGATAGAATGTATCAACAGTCCTGTGATAAAGCATGTGTCAACGGTCTGCAGTCCTGCGATAACCCCATCCCCCCAGCTTCTGGTAGCTGCTGACAGTCCTTGCCACCTGTCTCTGTCTCTCACACTGCCACTCCCGCCGCCGTCACCAAGCATCTCTCTTCATTTCTCTTTCTGTCCTGAGTCTGTCTCTTAGAAAGACACCAGTCACGGGATAATGAACCAACTGGGATAGTTCAGGATGCTCGCTGCTTGAGATAATTGCACCCACACAAAAAGGGTTTCTTTTTCCAAACTGGACCATATTTGTAGACGTACATACCTTCCAGGACACCATTGACAGAAAAAAAAACTTGACTATACTAGAGTCATAACACTTATAGTTGGAAAGGCTTAAAGGCTTTTTGAACCCCATTCATTTCCATCTGTCTGTCTCCTGTGCAGTGGTGGTGCTCTGTGGATGTCAGAGGCAAATTCCTAGGAACCCTGAAACTGATGGACTTTCAGCATTTCTCCCTTCAGCAACTCGGATTGCCTCTGTTTCATCTGAAGCTTTGCATGACGGTTGTCATGACAACCCAGAATCACTTCCCTGGCCCTGCTCTGAATGGTGAACCTCAGACCCACACCCAGCTTCCTCCCAGTCCTTCCTCTCGAAGGTCTACATGACCCCTTCAAAGCAAAATTTTGGCATCTCATCACATTTGTCCTCCTCTAGTCCTAGGACCAGACCCCACCACGGCCCTTGAATCTGAGTCCTCTTTCTTCCTTCCCCACCAATGCTTCCTGAAGTGCTCGGCCTGAAATCAAACATCTCTCCACATGCTACTCACAGAGTGGTCAGCAGATCACAACCCGTGTGTGCCTGGCCTGCGTTAGGACAGGAAGCAGGACCCAGAGTGTAGAGGCTCAAGTACATGATGGGTCAGGCGGGAGAGCGGAGTGTCGTTTGCACAGAGACCATGTGAATTTTGATCTCCTGTTGGCCTTAAGTGTTTTGCAGAGCTTCCGTGCCACAGATAGCTTGGGGAGAACTGGACTAGGAGACCCTGCTGGACCTGTCCCCTGCCTGCCTCTCTCCCTCTGCTGCAGCAGACTGGTGCAACCGCTGTTACCAGGCAGACCAATCGTTTCCATCTTGGCCCTGCACTGCTGCTTCCTCTTCTGGAATTGCTCCCTCCTGGCTTCCTGTCACTCCAACTCCTGAGAGGAGCCGTCCTTTGTCCTTGTAGCGGTTCTCAGCCTGGACTCCTTACTCTCACGGTGCATGGCTTCATTTTCTCACTCATTATTGCCCTAGTGTTGTGAAAGAGGAAATGGAGGCCATGAGGCCGCCATTGACAAGACAGCAGGAAAACCGTGTTTCCTTGACTCGAGACCCAGATCCTCTCAGTCCTCCGTGTTACTCCATTTATCTCCCCTGAGGAATTTGTGGCAATATCTCAGAATAAGGAAAAGAAGGAAACATATTTGGTTTTAAGGTTTTGTTTTTACATGCGTGTGTGTGAGCCTGCTTGAATGTATACGCACCGCCTCGGTGCAGGAGCGCATGGAGGCCAGGAGAGGGCATCAGACCCGAGGACCGGAGTGCCAGGCAGTTGGGAGTCACCTTGTTGGTACTGGGACCTGGATCCAAGTCCTCTGCAAGAGTAGCACACATCTTCCCAGGATGATGAAAAACTTAGATTTCTTCATCTCCTACTCCGAGTCAGGTAGGGAACTAAGCTTGCTTCTTTACCTTCCCTCGTTTCCCTTAAACCACAAAGCGGGGCTCAGGATGTAGTTCTGTTGGTAGAGAGTGTGCCTGGCAGGTGTGAAGCCTTGGGTTCAATGCCCAGCACCTCGTAACCCAGCACTTGGGGTGGGGAGGTAGCAGAATTCAGAGGCAGAGTGAGTCAGACTCGAAGGAGCTTGTTTTCAAAGTGTGCTTCAGAATTCACAGTCATCCTCAGCGGCAGAGTGAGTCAGACGCCAAGGAGCTCGTCTTTGAAGTGTGCTTCTACTAGAAGTTAATGGTTTTGACGTTGCTACCCCAATGGAGGAGGCTGATTGCAATTGGGAATAAGGGGTGGCACACGCCGGTGGGTTTTGCTGAAGGAGGCAGAAGCAGGAGGATCACGAGTTTGACAATAAGGTACCGGTCCCTCCAGCTTGGCGTAAACTCGATTACCCTAGGTATCGCAGCATCAGCCTACACTAAGTCAGTTACAACGCAGCGGCACTGACACACCTCTCATCGGAGGAGTTTCTCTGCCAGCCTAGTAAACAGAAAAGTTGGGCTTCCTCATAGGTACCTGCTTGTCCTGAACTCTCCAGCCAAGTCAATCTCCATATGGTGTTTCTTTCTTTGCCTTGGCCTGGAAGAATGATGCTTCCAAACCTGTAGACCTCACCATGCGCAACCGAGTCAGGCAGAATCTAGTCTGTTCTTCTGAGATTCTTCTTGTGGATGTGGGAGCAGTTTGAGACTCTTTGAGAAATGAGACCGAAAAATAAGCTGTGTATACACACACATACACACATAGATGTCTGTGTAAATCTAAGTATGATAAGCACACTTACACATACAGTGTTGCATAGTGTTCTGTCTGCATGTATACCTATGCGCCAGAAGAGGGCACCAGCTCTCATTCTAGATGGTTGTGAGCTACCACGTAGTTGCTGAGAATTGAACTCAGGGCCTCTGGAAGAGCAGTCAGTGCCAGACAAAACCTAGGAAAGAAATCAGAAAGATCACTTAGAGGTGGGTGGGGGTGATCTCACATTGCAGATGTGAGATAAAAGAATCATTTTTTAAATAAATTTTTATTTAAATTAGAAACAATCTTATTTTACATGTGAATCCTAGTTCCCTCCCCTTCCCATCCTCCTATGCCCCCAATCCCACCCTCATCCACTCCCCATCACATCACTTGGGGCAGGGCCTAGGCCCTCCCCTGTGTATCTAGGCTGAGAGAGCATCCATCCATAGGGAATGGGCTCCCAAAGTCCATTCGTGCACTAGGGATAAACACAAGACAAAAGAATCTAAGAGCACAGGTGCCATTGCAATTAACAACTCCACAACATTACAAAAGGGAATGTCTGCAGGGCATTGAAGA